AAAGAACTCCAAAGTTAAGCGTCCTTGCACGGGAGTAATCTTGGGATGGGTGACCCCCTGGGAAGTTTCTCAGGGCGCGCACGAGTGATGACAAAGTGCGTGGTAAAGGGTCTTGGTGGTTTGTGAGGACAATACTAGAGGTCAGAAGTAACTACCTCAGGGCCTGCGGGGTCGGAGTGTTACAGAGCCCGATCGCTATAACAAGTCTTCGGCGTTGAGAAGCCGGTTTTGATATAGATCATCACGCTGAGGCCGAGGGGCCGGTCATGATGTATATGCATCAGCACTGAGAGGCCGATCTGAAAGCCCGAGCAGCGGTCCTTATCCATAAAGTGAGAGGATGAGGCCGGTCTTCAGAGTATGATGATCACGTTGAGACAGAGGGTCTGACGTGTCGATATAAAGGATTACGTTGAGACCGAGGGTCTGTCGTGTTGATATAAAAGATCACATTGAGACTGAGGGTCTGCCGTGTCGATATAAAAGATCACGTTGAGACCGCCGATTTGCCGGTCTTTGAGATAAATGATCACATTGAGACCGAGGGGTCTGCCGTGTCGATATAAAAGATCACGTTGAGACCGAGGGTCTGCTGTGTCGATATAAAAGATCACGTTGATATCGAGGGTCTGCCGTGTCGATATAAAAGATCACGTTGAGACTGAGGGTCTGCCGTGTCGATATAAAAGATCACGTTGAGAACGGCGATGCTGAGAAGCTGGTCCAATGATATGATGACGAAGCAATGATTAAGTCGTTCGTCATATAAGGCGATTGTCGCTATCCTGGAAGGGAATGGCGAGTCTGGTCGCTAGCTTAAGATGCTCGACGCTGAGGAAACCGGTCTTGAGATAAAGGATCACGTTGAGACCGAGGGGTCTGCCGTGATCTGAGGATGTCAGTGCTGATTGGGCCGTTCGTCACATGAAGGCGAGGGCCGCCAGCCAGGAAGGGAATGGCGAGCCCGCTCGCTAGCTCAAGATGTTCGGCGCTGAGGAGGCTTGTCTTGAGATAAAGGATCACATTGAGACTGAGGGGTTTGAGGACATCGGCGCTGATTGGGCCGTTCATCACATGAAGGCGAGGGTCGTCATCTAGGAAAGGAATGGCGAGCCAACTCGCTAGCTCAAGACGCTCGATGCTGGGGAAACCAGTCTTGAGATATAGGATCACGCTGAGATTGAAGGGCCGTTCGTGATGTGGGGACGTCGGCGATGATGAACTGGTCCTATAAATGATGATGAGGCGATGATGAAGCCGATCGTCATATAAGCTTAAGACTCTCTGCGCTTAGGAAGCTAGTCTTGAGATATAGAATCACGACGAGGCTGAGGGGCTGTTCGTGATCTGAGGACATACGGTGATGAGGAGTCGGTCCTATAATATGATGACGAGGGGATGATGAAGTCGGTCGTCATATAAGCTCAAGACTCTCGACACTGATGAGGTCGGTCTTGAGATATAGAATCACGATGAGGCTGAGGGGCCGTTCGTGATCTGAGGGTGACATAACTGAGAGGTCGTTCGTCGTAAAGGCGACGGTCCCCATCATGGAAGGGATGAAGAGCCCGATCGCTGGCTCAAAACGTTCGACGCTGAGGAAGCCGGTCTTGAGATAAAGGATCACGCCGAGGCTGAGGAGCCATTCGTGATGTATGGACGACGATGATGAGGAGCCGGTCCAATAAATGACGATGAGACGATTCTGAAGCCGACCGTCGTATAAAGGCGGTGGTCCCCATCCTGGAAGGGGTGGAGAGACCGATCGCCGGCTAAAGAAATCTGGTGCTTGGGAAGCCGGTCTTGAGGTGATCATGTAGAGACCGAGGGGTCTGCTGTGTAATACTTGAGATTTAATTTAAGCGGATTAATAGTACTACTCATACCAACAAGGTGCATCTCCTTTTAAGGGAGCTCATTAGCCAAGAACTCTAAAGTTAAGCGTGCTTGCACGAGAGTAGTTTTGAGATGGGTGACCCCCTGGGAAGTTTCTCAGGGCGCGCACGAGTGAGGACAAAGTGCACGAAAAAGGCTAGTGACGGTTTGTGTGGGCAGTACTAGAGGTCAGAAGTAACTACCTCGGGGCCTATGGGCCCGGGGTGTATCAAATGGTATCAGAGCAACCCTGCGATAGTGTGTTGATCCGTTGGATATTGGGCGGGCACTTAGCAGGGGAAAAGATTCTGGAATATGATTGAGATTGGTTTATGGGCGCAACGAGGATGTTGCGTTCCTAAGTGGGGGTGATTGTAATACTTGATATTTAATTTAAGCGGATTAATAGTACCACTCATACCAACAAGGTGCATCTCCTTTTAAGGGAGCTCATTAGCCAAGAACTCCAAAGTTAAGCGTGCTTGCACGAGAGTAGTCTTGAGATGGGTGACCCCCTGGGAAGTTTCTCAGGGCGCGCACGAGTGAGGACAAAGTGCACGAAAAAGGCTAGTGACGGTTTGTGTGGGCAGTACTAGAGGTCAGAAGTAACTACCTCGGGGCCTATGGGCCCGGGGTGTATCAAATGGTATCAGATGGTATCAGAGCAACCCTGCGATAGTGTGTTGATCCGTTGGATATTGGGCGGGCACTTAGCAGGGGAAAAGATTCTGGGATATGATTGAGATTGGTTTATGGGCGCAACGAGGATGTTGCGTTCCTAAGTGGGGGTGATTGTAATACTTGATATTTAATTTAAGCGGATTAATAGTACCACTCATACCAACAAGGTGCATCTCCTTTTAAGGGAGCTCATTAGCCAAGAACTCCAAAGTTAAGCGTGCTTGCACGGGAGTAGTCTTGGGATGGGTGACCCCATGGGAAGTTTCTTAGGGCGCGCACGAGTGAGTACAAAGTGCGCGGAAAAGGCTAGTGGCGGTTTGTGAGGGCAGTACTAGAGGTGAGAAGTAACTACCTCGGGGCCTATGGGGTCGGGGTGTTACATCGGCCCCATGAGAGAAAATGGACGAGGGCACATCCGACATGTTTAATCATTGGTGACTCATCCAAAGGAGTCAACACCAGAACCGCATCGGCTAACGAGTGCTTATTCTCATGTTTTATGAGTCGGAAAGAATCAACCAAGATGACAAAAGCACTGGCTGATCCGGACTGGATTGTTGCAATGCAAGAGGGAATGAATCAATTTGAGAGATTGAATGTTTGGACCCTGGTGCCACCGTCATTTAGAAAAACCATTATCGGCACCAAATGTGTATTCAAGAACAAGAAGGACGAAGACGGTAAATAGGGGGACGCTAAATTTGGTTTGAAACGTAAGTAACCGTCCGAAGCCAGTAAATAGGGGGAGAAACTATTAAAAGGTGAGAGAAACTGGAAAAAGTTGGGGGAGAAGATTTTCCCTTTAGTTACATAGGATATGATTTACCAATATAAATATATTTAATGGGTAATTATTTTCAAAGTATTTCGACACATAACCCATCACGAATTGGGTTGGGTCAAGGCGGATCGGACCACTTGTCAGTCCCACAAATAATAGTTTTCAAACCATCAAAAACTTTAAAATTTACCCTTAATATGTTTCCCCAAATATGGTACTTTATTTTTGTAAATAGAAATAAACAGTGAAATCGTAAAACCATACCCCCATCGTATGACATAAATATAGCCGTACTAAGGATGTTTTTACTTGGACTGTAATTTGCTGGTCTGTTCTGGTCTGGTCTGGTCTGATCTGGTCTGGTCTGAACTGGTCTGGTCTGGTCTGGTTTCTTTGTATTTTTATAACTATCCAAGTCTGGTCTGGTCTGGTCTGGTCTGAACTGGTCTGGTCTGGTCTGGTCTGGTCTGATCTGGGACGAATTACAGTCCAAGTAAAAACATCCTAATGCGATTTCAAGATGGCACTCTTATACTCTTATTGGGGGAAACATAGTACTTATATAAAATAAAATGTCAATGATATTTTATTTGCATGTATTTTAATCCTAGATACCCTATACACAACTAATTGTAATTATAACACTTGAAATACATGCATCATTTTATAGATTAAAATTTTAATTTGTCACAAATACTTATGTATGTGTACTTTTTTATTATTGTGACCTACTTTTTTCCGTTCTCTTTTAATTGCAATAGACCACTTTTCACGTGTGTCAATGCACAAATTTGACCATTAATATTATCTCCATTTCATATTTGAAAATTTAAAATGAGACGAATGTAACAATAGTTGTTAAACAAACAACTTATAATACATTAATAATAAACTGTAGTCAAAGTAGAGTACGTGAATAGGGCATAACTCATCAATGTTGCAATTGAAAAAGAACGAAGGTAGTATGTATAATCATTTTATGATATCATGTACCGGTGTTAATTCTTTTCTTTTAATTTTGATATTGCTTTTAACAATATTTTCCAAAAAACTTATATTTTCCCGCCAATATATATCTGAAGACGGGTAGGTGACATTTAAGCGTTGAAATACATACATAGTATATAAGTGAGATGCACTTATAACCTGTGCGATGCACGGATGGAAAAATATATTAGAGTTGGCGGGTAGGTGACTCTAATATATAAGTGGATTTCAATATTTTTGTTTTAATTAATACAAGGTTCTTTATCTCGGTCGTGCATCGCACGGGTGAGAATACTAGTATAAAATAAAATCACAATGTTTTTACTCGTATTTTGAATATGTTCCCGAGTGTTAATCCAAATTATAAAAATGATCTCATTATTATGTTTAAGATGAATGTGAATGAAATAATACTCGTGTAATATATTGATTTTAGATTAAGAGTAATAGTTTTGGTATTGCCAATTCTGTACAAGGCTATGGATTTTAGGTAGTCTGGATTTTTTAGGATTTTTCGGATAATTCTTACTTAACCGTCAAAAGGATAAAAAAACATGAACGTGACCATGTTTGGGGTTGGGTCACCTTGTAAGGGTTAATGATGTTTTTACTATTTTTTTAACCCCCGGAAGGCAAACCTTCAAAATCAGTGGGACAAATGTCGGGGGATATTTGTCAGGTTTTATTGAAATAAAGAACGTATTACAATCAGAGGGGAACTAGGCCAAAACCTCTTACAGATTAAAATTAAGCAACATATCTAAAAGAAGGCAAATTAAACAAATTCAATGTAACAACAATTCTAATCGGTCCAGGCAAGAATTTTAAATTAGCCCACGAAGTAAATTGGGCCACAGAAAGCCCAACAAGTAAATGAGCAGGTTCGTTCCCTTCCCTCAGCACATGTCGGAACCTCATCCCTTTCCTGAAACACATCTGCCTGAAGTCAACAAGTTCATCTCTCCACGGACCGCTCTTCCGTCCAGAAATATGGTCAATAATCTCATCCGCATCACTTTCAACCTGGAAACCAGCATAGCCCTCATCTATTGCCCACCCCGTCGCTCTGAATATAGCTAGCATTTCCGCATGTAGACTGGAACGAGGTAACTCAAGGGGAAACGAGATAGCGCCTATCAAATGACCTTTCTCATTTCGCAGAATGGCTCCTCTAAAAGCGCGATCAGGTACGTACGAAGCATCCACATTCAGTTTGAAACCGCACCTAGGTTTGATCCATTTGACAGGTTTAAAAACCGTATGAGTTCTAAAATTCATAGGAATTAAGTTTTCTTCTATAAGAATCTTATCAATAGATCGAAAACTTGGTTGTCTGAAACTAAGAACCCATGATTGAGTATAAAGCTTGATCCTCCAAATAGTGATGTCAACCGTAGGTATAGAGTGTTGAGAACCCCAAATAAGATCGGTATATAGCTTCCAAATATGTCAACTTATAATTCCCGGGAGATTGAGTCTAAAAACATCCATGAGAGTCTTACTTCGAGCTTCTAACCACCACATAAAAAGCACCTGCCCGATTGAATGTATACTAATAGAGAGACGGATACTCATAAAGTCATAATGTGACACCTCGAAAAAATTAAATAAAAAAAAGAAAAAATATATATATAATTTTATCAGTGAGATAAGATGTTACGAAAGTAACATTTTAATAACTAAGAGAATCAGATAAAATTTTAACTTCGGTGACATTTTTAACCAGATAAAAATGTTTCAATAATAAAAGTGACATTTCAACAATTTTAAATTAGCTAATAATATATGTATAAAAATACACAAACTTGACTTTTCAAATTCTACTATACTCCTAATACATAAAATAGACCTACGTGTGTATACTAATAATAAAAGGCAATTTCTGTGGTACCTTCAAGGTACCATACCTTGAAGGTGTGGACCAATCAAAAATTTCAAATTGAATAATTTAAATGTAAATAAAATATGAAATATTGAGTTGGACCATAGCAATCACCATAATAAAAATATAAGATACACTACATACAATCGGATCAGGCCAAAAAATTTCCAACTCTGAATCCTTCAGCGATATACTTGCACATGGAGTGTAGTTAAACAAGGAAACTGCTGGACTGCAACAGTGTATATAGCATAAATAAGCGGCCATATTCATACTTCAAGGAACATGCGATTACTCGGATAAAGAAAAAACTAAATCTCCGTAGCCCACGAACTGAACTAATAGGATACTATTTCTCCAGCCTAGGATCTCCCCCTTATCAGTATAAATACAATACCCTCATCCTGATATTCCATTCATTCACAAAGTTCCAATCGATATATATATACATACACATATATACGTGGTGTATATATACACACACCAAATTTCGTCCCTTCATTATACTAAAAACCGAGCCTTGAAAACAATTCTAAAACCTTCCTCTTCGTAATACGAATCCAACGGCGAAAGAAACGTGGAAAACGGTCGTGAAACGAGGGAGAAAAGCTTTACCGGAGCTCCGTCGGACTGATTTTCACGTCGGAAACGGGGAGGAAGGAGTTGCCGCCGTTGCCTCTATCCAGCTTTTGGACCGTCCCCGAACACTCTGCCTTGCTACTCGTCCATCGCCGTCGCAAGTAAGCTCCTTCTCTGCATTTCTTCCTTTTCTCTCTTCGCACCAATTCCGTCGAAGAAGACGACACAGAGGACTAGGGGTCTGCATTCTATTATTTCTTTTCTTTCATTATCTTGGGCTGAATTAACAAAGATGGGCTGGGCCGTATGATGATTTGCTCTAGACTGAACTCTAAATATAGTAATAATAAACTTGGGATAGTAATGAAAATAAAAATATAAAATAATGATTTTTATATTGATAATTGAGTTACGGGAACTTTAGAGACATTATTGGGTACTTTCCACTATAATTCAAATTTGGGATAACCATGTATAATATTATGCAACATGAACTTTTTAGAGTGATTATCTAAACGAAATACAAAGCTGGTTGATTTTTATAACTGGATTGATAAATAACATTTTATATGGCTAATGAAAATTTGAGATGAGAAGTAGTAGTGATGAATGTAGCTGGGTTAATTGATAGTAATCACTTGGATAAATTTGTTAATTTTTAGTTAAAATGATTACATAATGTTAAATGATAAAATGAGTTGATAAACGAATATTATAATGAGTTTATTATGACTTGGTACCATAACTAGATCAAGTAAAATTGGATAGATATTATTTTCACTAACTATTGGATTAATGGTAGTAGATTAATAAAATTAACATAATTACATACCCGGAAATATTAAGTACTGTTGAGTAAATTAATAAAATCATATTAAGTTAATGATGATTAGTTAATTTAAATAATTGCTAGAAAATTCAGAATTTCTAATAATGTGACTAAGGTAATTATGAAATTTGAATATTAAAAGTTGGGAATCGGACTAGTTAAATTGATGATAATCACTTTAGTAAATTTGCCACTTTTTAGTAGAGATAATTACATAATGAGATTAATGGATTTATTAAGCAGTTAGAAATAATAAACCAATTGATCATTATTTGGATCTGTTATTTTCGGATTAGCGTAAATTAAGTGTTATTAGACTAATTTATGGGTAAATTAATATAAACAATGCAATTCGGATATTTTATAAGTGTTGAACTAAATTATTAGCAAAAGATTGAATTATTGGTAATTAGTAAATTACACTATAAATTATATTAGTTAGATATGATATTGGATTATAAGTAACAAGGACGGATTAAAATAGTAATAAAACGATGATTAAAAGTTATTCAATTACTTATTAATAAATGAATAGGATTCCGAACAATTAAAGTGATTAAAAAAACATTACTTCGAAATTATTATTAGTTATAGAATTGGGTAATTCAACATTTTTGTTGATTGATGATTTTGACTAATAATAAAGTGTTAAAATTCTAGTTTTAGTTAATCTAAAAGATGAACTAAAATAAGAATCAAAATTAGTAAAAAGATTTGATTAATCACAAACGATCCATAATAGTCTATCATTAATGAAAATAATTAGATTATTCTGATTTGACAATTAATGATAATTCATAAGTTGAATTAATAATATAAAACGGAATTAAAAGAATTAATCAGTTACAAGGTGCATTAAGAAATTAAGTGATAGATTAATAAAGATGATTAATTAATGGATAAGTTACATACGAATTAATAATTAAATATTAATAAAATTTGAATAAAAGTATAATGGGGAATCAGTTAAATTATTAAAAATAGAAAGAGTGACTAATTATATCATTTTAATTAAAAAGGTGATAATCTAGAGACAAAATAGAGGAAGAGAAATAGAAGCATTGGATTTGAGGTAAGTTTTTCTGCCAATCCAAAATCGTTTCCTCGTATTATATGTTTATTATGCATTATGTGATTAAGTGTGAATTTTTAATTTTGTGTATGTGATTTTGAGGAGATATTATATATATGGTAGTTGAGAAATATATATTAAGTACTTTTGGGGTATTAAATATTTTTAAATACCTTCGAGACTTTTTAGAGAAATTGAGAAGTATTTTTGAAGTATTATTTAATTGAAGATAAAATTTAAATTTTCATAAGAAGTGAGTGATGGAGTATATGGCCCAGAGACCCCCGGCCCATAGACTCCTACTGCTCTAACCAAGGCCCGATAGGCCCAGGAAGCACAGCAGGCCCAAATTACAGCGCCCCGAGTAACAAGGAGCCAACAATGCGCACTGGGGGTGCCTTCGGCCCCTTGGTCGAAGGCTCCACATACTCACAGAAAGGCTATTTTTAGCATACAAAGTTACTGGGAGAAAACGGCGAAAAACAGTAGCCCTCGGCACCTGGAGCCCTCGGCCTTAAGGGGCCTTCGACAGGAAAAGTCCTCGGCTAATCATCTACAGCCGAGGGTACCTTCCTCAACAAGAATATCCTCTCCACATGCGCCTGGGTCGCCGTACCAAGTACAACGTCACATCCAACCGCTGCATTAAATGCGGCCACATGCGAATGCCAGTGACACCCGGTTGATGTGACCCCTCGACCGTTGGATGCTTGACACGTGTCCCCGTCTCGCATTTATTGATACTATAAATAGCACTCCATTTCCCCTTTGTAAACCAGATTCTGAATACGCTTGGAACTCATATATTCAATACACTTTCTCTCTCTTACTTGCTCTGACTTCTCTCTAGTTACTCCCCGCAGTAACCCTTCGGATACATACCCCCGGGTAGACTATCCATCAGTGAGCATCTCGGTAGTAATCCGAGGTGTCGGTTTTCCACATCCGGATAAATGTGGAGTGTGATTAGGGGTGCTACTACTAAGAAGTACAATTTGAATTTAAAGTGACATTTGGATCTATGATCCCTTTTAAGAAGAAGTTATAGTAGTAGTCCCTAATCATTCAAGAATTTTAAAGGTGGAGTGGTTGAGTTCCGACCACTCGGGATGACTTACTACTCGGAGGGCTTGGAATCCCTTTTAGTGGGTGTGCACACTTAAGGTAGTCGTCTCGTTTCCGCAAGAGCAGTTGTGGTACCGGCACTTGTTCGGGGTGGCCGTCGAAAGGTTGAGCACCGCCCTTCTAAACTACTAGGAAGTTAGAGAAGAAGTGATTTTTGAGATGATCAAAGAAGAAGAGAATTTTGGTGGAGTGAGTTCTTTTTATATAGTATTATAAGAAAAACTATTTTTGCCAAACCTGATTATTTTACGGGGTTGGGTAGTACTTACTTAGCTCTAAAGCTAATTTTTGTTTTCTTTCTTTTGTTTTGTTTCTGCACTTTATTTGTGCAGGTGATGATGATTATGTTGATTGCTGAATGCATGCGCCTGAGAGCGAATTAGAAGTTCCCTTAGTTAAATATAGTCATGAAATAAACATTTATTTATTAGTTTTTATTGTTTTGTTTTAGTTTCCTGTGTATCCAGTTGAGAGATGACCGGATGTGGCGTAACACCCATTTCCCTATTTTAGACTTTCGCTGTACTCTTTAAATTTCATTATCAATAAATAAAAGTTTTATTTCAATTATAATATTGTTTTGGGCGGGAAATTTGGGGGTGTTACACATAACCCAACTAAAGTAAGCCCAAAAAGTTTTAGAATATGAACATTCATAGAAAACATGGTTGGTAGTGTCACTCTTGATAAACCCAAAATACTAAACAATCAAACAACCATTGCAGTTATCAAGAAGCAGATAGAAGATTATGAGATGAAAAACCAAATCTGGTATACCGTATAAAACCCCGCTGCTCTCCCTGGAGAAGGAGAGCAGCGGAAACCCTACTCTCTCTATCACGCCTCTGCTTCTCTAGAGCCTCTCTTCTTTGTTAGGGTTCCCGTAAGTTAGCCTCCTTTTATAGGAGAAGTTAGCTAACTTACAGGTTACAAGGAAGCCCCCGGGTTGATACACATTTGTGGCCCGTTTTACACGTTTAATTAATAACTACACAAATACAAAGATATTTAATTAGATTGGACACCATAAAATATTCCTAACAACTCTCCCTCCTACAAATGGGACACATAGAAGGCTGAACCAGTGAACCATCATCCGAAACTTGTACAAGTTATCAGAAATATGCAGTATTCCTTTTAACAATTTCCACTGAAAAAGTCCCACTTCAAGCTGTTGTTTTGGATGCCAGATATGTTTGTAGGAAAAAGCAGATCCCTGTGTGTCACGCCCCGGACCGCATCCGTGCAACGTAGACAACCGCCGTACAACCCAATAAGAACAACAACAGTTCATCCCTATTGAATTATACAAGACGTCCGATAGATTCTATTGCCAAACCAATTAGTAAACACTTACAATCAACATCAAAATCATAATCAAACAAATGCGGAAAATATAATATGATTGATAATTAGCCACACGTGGGAAACACGAGCACACATGCTCCCAACTGTTTTAGAAGAAAAACATTGTTCAAATATCCATGAGCAGTTTATAAATTTCAAATAAGAATGGAAGCACGAACCACGTCTTCCTCTTTGATCAATCACCCTAGGCAAAGGTGCAGGTAGTAGGACTCTAGCCTTGACCTGAAAAATGTGAGGGCCCTCGGAGGGGTCAGTACTCCATAGAAGTACTAGTGACAAGCAGGCTATATGAAGAATAACTAATGTTTCAGACACGAGACCCAAAAATAGGGTGATATATATAGTTGTAACTCATCCACCTTATGATACATAGTGTATACATACGTGTAAAATACTTAACCCGTAGGTCATTTACATTAAAGAGTCTTTTAGAGATAAAGTTCTTACCTGACTTATCTCACTCCTTTCCCCGATACCTAGCTCACAAGCTATAATCTGCATTCGATTCATACTACCGAGTGTTTTAAGATCATTTACCGTCCAAGGTACTCAACCCATCCTAGAGTATTTAGGATCATTTACCGTCCAAGGGCACTCAACCCCACCTGGAGTATTCTGTATCATTTACCTCCCAAGGTTACTCGACCCCACCTGGAGTATTCTGGATCATTTACCTCCCAAGGGTACTCGGCCCCACCTGAGTATTCTGGATCATTTACCGTCCAAGGGTACTCAACCCCCAATCTAATCTCTACCAAATCCTAACCTGGACATGGCTAGCCTTTTATTCCTTCAACCATGGACAATGCCTAGTCCTATAGTCATATAGTAATCATTAGTAACCAACGTTGGTGGGTCCCACCCGAACGGCCCACGGTAACCTACTCAAAAACTGTCTGTTTGAGTATAACCCGATACCCGGTCGGGTATCCAACCATACCCGGTCGGGTATAGTGAGGCAATATGTAATACTTGAGATTTAATTTAAACGGATTAATAGAACTACTCATACCAACAAGGTGCATCTCTTTTTAAGGGAGCTTAGTAGCCAAGAACTCCAAAGTTAAGCGTGCTTGAACGAGAGTTTCTTGGGATGGGTGACCTCGTGGGAAGTTTCTCAGGGCGCGCACGAGTGAGGACAAAGTGCGTGAAAAAGGCTAGTGCCGATTTGTGAGGACAGTACTAGAGGTCAGAAGTAACTACCTCGGGGACAGTGTGCTGATCTGTTGGATATCGGGCGGGCATTTAGCAGGGCAAAAGATTCTGGGATATGATTGAGATTTGTTTATGGGCGCAACGAGGGCGTTTCGTTCCTAAGTGAGGGTGATTGTAATACTTGAGATTTAATTTAAACGGATTAATAATATTACTCATATCAACAAGGTGCATCTTCTTTCAAGGGAACTCATTAGCCAAGAACTCCAAAGTTAAACATGCTTGCACATGAGTAGTCTTGGGATGGGTGATCCCCTGAGAAGTTTCTCAGGGCGCGCACGAGTGAGGATAAAGTGCGCAGAAATGGCTAGTGGCGGTTTGTGAGGACAGTACTAGAGGTCTGGAGGGTGTGTATGAGTAACTACTTCAGGCCCTATGGGGCGGGGTGTTACACAGTAGCCCATGGGGTTGTTTTTAACTATTACCCGGTCGGGTATTTACCCATACCAGGTCGGGTATAGCCTTTGACTTGGCGGTCAACGACCGTTTGACCGCCCAAACAAAGTCCGATTAACGTGAAATTTTATACGCAAATACTTCTTGACGTCCTTGATCCAAAAATACCCTTTTGGATCCCTGTAACATCATACATAATAGTTTTTCACATTTTGAATCATGAACCATATATAACATGCTTTTCAACTATGTTTTATATATAATCGTGGCATAAACAAATACTTGATTATCTTTAATCATTCCATAAAACATATCCTTGATTACTTTAGGTAATCTCATGCCTCACACAAAAGTTATAAAGCTGTTGAGGTTTATTCCCCTCAACCCGCAGGCCCAACACGTAACCTGGGGGTTTCGAATGGGTGGAAAGTAAAACAAGCTCACTAAACAACGGGGAGTGGGTTAATAACTGTATTTCATTCACTTGAGCGATTACAAGCCAAAGGGCCGAACGTACTGAGCTATGCTACGTGTTGTTGATGTTATTACAATTCTAGAGTGTCGAAGTGCGAACCCTTTACAATGAAATAAATGCGACTATTTATAGTATCCCATGGTGGTTGGGGGGGGGGGGGGCTGACGTGGCCGGCTGTGGGCGACATGATCCCAACTACCAAATCTCCCACATTTAATGTGCTTCCCGCCAAGATCTTGGTTTCCCGCCATAGCGTGGGGGACGTCCGTCCCCTAAACTGGACTCAACCCTCTGGTGGCAACCTGGGCCCTTAAACGTAGTCCCCAAGATGCTCGTCCCCTGGCCCTTGGGCCCTGAGGCTTGGTCCTCCGGAGGCTACGTACGTCCCCTGGCCCTTGGTCCCTGAGGCTTGGTCCTCCGGTGGGTATGTACGTCCTCTGGGCCTTGGGCCTTGAGGCCTGGCTACACTGGGACGTACGCCCCCTAGCACTTGGGCCCTGGAGCTTTGTCCTACGGGGCTACGTAAGTCCTCTGGCCCTCGGATCTTGAGGCCTGGCCATGCTGGGCTACGTACGTCCTCTGGCCCTTGGACCCTGAGGCCTGACCATGCTGGGCTACGTACATCCTCTGGCCCTTGGACCCTGAGGCCTGGCCATGCTGGGCTACGTTCGTCCCCTGGCCCTTGGGCCCTAGGGCCTGGCTATGCCGGGCTACGTTCGTCCCTAGGGGTTGATGGACCGACCCTGGTAGGGCATTAACCCAACACAAGTCCCCCACTTCTGATGTTCCGAGCGTGCAAGGGGCATAAAGAAGTAAGATAACTTCCGCCGTACCGCCTCGAGCTGTTGCTCCCTTTTCCTCTAGGTGACGGTTGCTTCCCGCCGTTTTTCGCGGGGCTCTAGGTGCCAGCTATCTGGCCGGTTCAACTTCCAATTCAAAAGTAATCATTTCGTATCAGCCCGTCTCTACGTGACACGCGTCCCTGTATACGCTCCTTGCCACGTGTCGCCCGCAGGTTGGTCGCTGATCCGGCGCCTCCCCTTATAAATACCGGGAATCTGGGAAGGGTTAGGGCTTTTCATCTGTTGTCTCCTCTTGCCTTCCCAGCGCCGTTCAGCGATTATTTCGAGTTCCGGTGTTCATTTCTCCCCCAAACTTTTAGCAAGGTAATTCCCTAATCCCGACCTCCTCCTTTCTTTTCGTAAACCTCCCCATGGCCTTCTCCATGGTGATTTCTTCCTCTTCGGAAACTGGCTCTGGTTCTTCTACCGGCTCTTCAGCCGGTTCATCTTCGGCATCATAACTCAGATCCCGCTCCTCGGCAGAAACGAGCGGTTCTGGCCGTTCCAGCGCTTCTTCAATGACAGTCCCTGACGCAGTGGCTGACGCCGCAATCCCGGTCGCAGGAGAACATGTTGATATGACCGTCGACCCTGAGAACGCCGTTGCGATGATGGCACAACCTGCCGCGTCGGTGGGGCATCCAGCCGATCATGACTCGGGTGAGGAGGCTGAAGAAGGGGACGACCTCCGGATCTACAAGCTTGGCGTCCCTATGGATCAGCATAGGCACATAGTGCTTATTCCCAATGTACTCGTGATTGAACATGTCTTCTCCAAGAGGGCCCTTAGGGAACTACAAATTATTCTCCCCCCGCCTGCTTATTATAGCCTCTGAGGCACAAATAATCTCCTCATGAGATGCCCGAGCATGGTGATGGTGCATATGGATTCTTTAAAGGCCGGACTGCGCTTCCCGATCCACCCGTTTTACCTTTACTTCTTTGAGATTTACAGTGTTGTTCCGGCCTAATTCATGCTGAACTCCTACCGCTTGATCTCTGCCTTCCTCGTTCTCTGCAAATCGCTGGGGCTCACCTTTTCACTGGAGCTTTTTCATTATTTTTTCCACGTTACTCCCTAAAATGCTATTGGGTTCCTGAGTGTGGCCGCTCGTCCCAAGAGAAAGCTGTTCGAGGGGGCTCCCTCCTCTATCCACGACTGGAAAAATCACTTTTTCTTTATTCGTTATGCGGACGAGCGGCTTCCTGTGAGGTGGAATGGGTACCCTCCGAAGGTTCAGGCACCGGAGCTAACCCCGGCGTTGCGGGATGTCGTGGATAAGCTGAGGCTGGGCGGCATTAGGAAGCTGAAGGGTCTTCTGACCATTGAGGCACTTTTTGGCGCAGGGATAGGTACCGCCCGTGATCCCTGGACTGGCCTTCTCTTGTGTTCATCTTGTGGGCCCGAGCGGTCCATTCCTTGAGGTGAGTGCCTTTGTGATTCGCACCGCCCGGTACTAACGTTACTTTTTTGTTTCAGGTCCTCCCCCTAATCAAGAGAAAATGGACAATGCAGCTATGGCGGCTCGCCGTGAGGCAAAGGCCAACAAGGACCGGGCGGCGTTGGCTAAGGCTCGTGCGGCCGCCCAATCTTCTAAGGGCACCTCGTCTGCCGCATCCCAGGCTAGTCAGCGCGTTGCTGAAGCAGAGCGGCTTCTTGTCGCTGAGGTGACTGGGCAAACCTCTGAGGCCCATCATCCTCAAGATAACCGGGTCCTGAATGTGGACCCGGTCGGCGTTGGTATCCCTACTGGTGGGGAAAAGGACAAGGGGAAGAAGACGAAGAGGCCGCGCCTTGAGTCCTCTGTTCCTAAGTCCACGAACGTCGTGGTTCCCTCCGCCGTTCGTCCGATCTCTGATGTCTGGAAGGACATGGCCCTTCAGGCCAGGCTGGAGTTGTCAGGTCGTTCTTCAGGCGACTCTGTTGATAGTGCTCTGCTTCTGAGCCTTGAGGTACGTTCCCCACATTCCCCCCTGTTATTTTTTGAAACCGTTCCTCGTTCCCACCTAACCCACTTTCCTTCCTTGCAGGCTGGGTTGAGCTTGTTGCAGGCCAGGGCCGCTCGGGAGAAAGATCTCGCCGAGCTCAAGAGGAAAACCGATGCGGCTTCCAAGAGAGAGCAGGAGGCCGTGCTGCTGCGGGAGGCTGCTCAGGCGGAGGTGAAGAAGGCACAGGCTGCCCTGGCTCAGGCTTTACAGGAGCTCCTGGCCGTTCGGGCTCAGGGCGAGCATGAAAAACAATGCCTGCTTGCCAAGGTGGCCCTTGCTGAGAAGTATGGGATTTCTTTTGTTCCTGCCGCGGATCAGCTGGAGTTCAAGAAAACTACCCAGTTCATGAGTATTGTCGGGAGCTGTTTGGGAGGTTTTCGAGGCCGAGGTGCAGTCGGTGTCGGATAAGGAGTGCTTGGTTCATGGGGTGCGGCTTTTGGAGAAGACCGCACTTGGTGGTGAGTGCCTTGCAGAGCTTGCCGACGATGCCTTTGCCAAAGGGTACTTCGAAGGTGTCAAGGCCCTTAGGAGTGTGCTCCCTCTGGCCGTCTGTCCCCCTTTCAACGTGGAAGATTATACTGATGGGGCCGAGCTTCGGCGAGTCATGGGAAAACTCGGCCGAGATGAGCAGCGCACAGCGGCTGTTCAGAGGGGTGAAATCCCTGATCCCCCCACTCCTGAGATTCCCTTTGTGCCATCGGAAGAACTGCCGGCCTCCCCACGCTCCCCTCCTCATGGCTTCCTTGCATGATTTTGTTAGTTCCCCCCTTTTTCTTAGTTGTATATTCCGGCCGGTAGAGCCGAAGAATAAAGCTTCCTTTTGCACTTATGACTTGCGTTCTGTTTACTCATTCATACTTTCCTCCTTTCTCCCCCTTCTTCTCTCTCTCTCTCTCTCTCTCTCTCTCTCTCTCTCTTACGAGGGACGGCTTCTGCTCCTTTTTTCTCATGGGCTCTTTCCTCTTCTTCTGACGAGGTACGGCCCCTGCTCCTTTTTCTTACGGGCTCTTTTCCTTTTCTTCTGACAAGGAACGGCCCCTGCGCCTTGTGCTCATGGCTCTTTTCCTCTTCTTCCGACGAGGAACGACCCCTGCTCCTTTTGCTCATGGGCTCTTTTCCTCTTCTTCTGACGAGGAACGCCCCCCTGCTCTTTTTGCTCATGGGCTCTTTTCCTCTTCTTCTGGCGAGGAACGGCCCCTGCGCCTTGTGCTCATGGCTCTTTTCCTCTTCTTCTGACGAGGAACGTCCCCTGCTCCTTTTGCTCATGGGCTCTTTTCCTCTTTTTCTGGCGAGGAACGACCCCTGCTCCTTTTGCTTTCAGGCTCTTTTCCTCTTCTAAACTCTCTCTTCTCCCCCTTCTTTTTTTGCGTCTCGTTGTGGGGGGTGATTTCAGACTTGCCACCGGCGGCGTGGATCTCAAAGCGTCCCTCAGCCGTAGGATGCACCAAACATGGTCCGCCACGTGTCTTCCCTCAATTCAGGAGCCGAGGTGGTTTTCGCCTATAAATACCCTATTGCCAAAATGGGGGGATTACTCTGTTACTCTGCCAGATTATTTTCTCTCTCTAGATTCCTTGTAAGTCCTGAATTTTCTCCTCCGTACTTGCTATGTCTTCCATTGTCCCTAGGCCGTCTGCCCATGGCCGTTCCGGAAACTTATCCGATGACGGTTGTAACTCAAGGGATGACCTTTCCGTTTATAAGCGTGGGATGCCCCCCAGCCTCCTCGTTTCTCCCTTAACTTCCATCTCGTTCGGCGTCAGCGCCAACGTCTGCTTCTTAGCGAGAAAAACCTGATTCCCTAGTTGCTTCCCCCTCCACGGGTTTGGGACGCACGGTTCCTCCACCATCCTATGCGGCATCTACCTGGCCACGTGGTCGTCCATCTGGACTCTGTGGCAGCGGGTTTTCTTTTCCCGCTGTTGCCTTTCCATATCTCTCTTTTCAGGGGACTTGGTATCGCCCCGGCTCAACTCGTTCCAAATTCCCATCGGATTCTCGCCGGTTTCATAATCCGGAGCCACAATGTGGGGGTTGAGCCGTCCGTGAAGTTGTTTCTGCATTTCTTCCGGCTTTCCCCGTACGGCCAAACGGGTTATTTCAGCGTAATGGCCCGTTCGTGGAGGGTTCTCTTTTCCAACAACCCCTCCAATCCGAACAGCTCGGAGGAGAGATTCTTCCTTGTCGGGGTTGATTCCCCTCCCCCCTTCTCCGATCGGTGGAATGCTTTTGTAAGGAATAAATGTAATTAGATTTTGATGATGCTATAGTTTTTTTTAATTACCCCTTAGAAAGTTTGTATTAGAATTTTCCTTGTAATTGTTCTAGTATAGTCGACTGACAGAAGACCTCCAGACAGAAGCCCTTTTGGCCCTCTGGTGACAGTGCCTTCACAGAAGTCCTCCTAACTCTCTGTTGGACTTCACCAAGGCAGAAGCACTTAGGTCCTCTGTTGGCCTCTAACAGAACAGAAGGACTGGAGACCCTCTGCTGTCATCCGTTGCAACAGAAGTGCTCATGACCTTCTCTGGCGTACACTCTGATAAAGAGACCAGAAGGCTTGTCACTTAGAGAAATTCAAGTTTACTTCCAGCCGGCGAAATCAACGGAAGATTCTCTAACGGCTAGAAGACTTCAACGGAAAAGCTACTGTACGCGCATTAAATGCTCATTTAATGCGGATACGTACGAGAAGATATTTAAAGCATATAATTGACCATCTTTTTGGAAAGAATCTTCTCAAAATAGCAAGTCGCCGAATTCAGTGGGTCCAACCGGTCAAGTCAACAACATGCGCATTAAATGCAGTTGTCCTCCTTCACCTCCAATGGGAAGACAACCCTAAGTATAAAAGATACTCTTCGAAGAACAAAAGAATAAGAACTTTTGCTCTGCTAACTTTGCCAACTTCACCACATTCCTTGCGAGAAAAACACATTCAAATCATTCAAGGCAAAAAGGTCCTCTTGAGATTCAAACTCTTCATTCTCAACAAGAGAGAGACACAAGTTGGAAAGAATATACCTTCATATCATCAAATCCAACAAGAGCAAGGTTCCAACAGTTCTTCAACAACTTCAAACACTTCATCTACAAATCTTTTGTAACGAAGCAAGTTGGAGGAACCCCTGTTTCAACAGAAACTCTTCTTTCACAAGAAGGACGTCCAAGTATCTGGAGCTGTGAAGTGGTGATACTTCTGGAAAGCTCAGTGAAAGGAGCAGTCTTAGGGAAGCCGGAAGTGCATCCACGGAGACATCTACACTTGAAGAAGACGTGGAGAGCTTCTTAAGTGATAGGGCTAAGGCATTGTAAACGGAAGTTTTTACAGCTTAGTGGAATAGTGGACTAGAGGAACAAGTTGTTCCTTGAACCACTATAAAAAGCCCTGGTGTCATCTACTTACTGCTTTTCATTCATAGTTTATACTTGAACTGTTTGACTCCAAAGACTTGGTATCTGTGTTCAGCAGAAATGGTCTTGTGAGTTAACAGAAGGCCTACTGCCTTTGCTTCTCTGAGGCTAAGTCAAAAGAACTCCTAACAGAACCTTATCCGCTGCCAGTCTGTTCTGCCAACAGAACGGGCTATTCTGTAAAATCTGGTACTTAGCTTGAAAAAGTTAAAAACCAATACAGTCTATTCACCCCCCCTCTAGACTGTATCCAGTACAACCGGGACCAACAGCTTTCCTGGTCAAGTTTGAGCCTCCGGTTCTCCATTCGGCCGAGCTGGAACAGGCTGCTCCTATCGCCGGTGAGGGGGTCCAGAACCTGCGTTTGCTTGTGAATGACACCAAATTGGGCAAGGCCAGCATAGGTACGTCCTCGTTGTGGCCCGGATTTTGGACTCTTTTTTTGTGACTCCCAAACATCGTTCTGACAATTTTTCTTCTCCTTTGTGCAGGGCTTTATCCCAGGTCTTCTGCCATGGCCCCCACCCCGTGCTACTCCCTCCTCCGGTCGGGCTTATACTAGCTAGGGAAAGCAGATCGTTGGTCAGGATCAGGGCCAAAAAAGGCCCGAAGCCGAACCTGCTGGGGATGAACGGCCCCCCCAAAAGTCCCGCCATGGGGAAGGATCCTCCAAGGCCGTGGTGGTCCTTGATGGGTCAGATACTGAGGTTGCCTCTCCTCCTAAGCCGCCCCCTGCCACTTCGTTAGGCAAAGGTTCGAGCGATCCTCCTCCGTCCGGTTCAGAGGATTCGTTTTCTGATATCATTGAGTTCTCCGGGTTGGGCCCCCGTGTGGAGTCGAAAAGGTTGTTTGGGCAGACGGCCTCTTCCATTTGGTGCTCTTTGGAGTCAAAACTCCCTCGTGATTTCGCTGCTCGTGACAGCGCGGTGGATGTTCATGAGTGTGGCACACTCAACAAGGCCGCCATTTATTTCTGCAAGGCACGGCTTGTCTACGAAGCTCAGGAGCGTGCTTCCGCCCAGGTGCGTTGTGAAGTCGATGATTTGGTGAAAAAGGCCAAAGAGCGTCTGCACAAGATGCAACAGGATTTGAACGCTACCTTTGGGCACGCTAAGGGAAGCACGTCTCTTCAGGAGACGATGAGGAAACAAGCCGAGGAGCTGCAGCTGCTTCGTGCCAAAATGGCCGCCGTGGAGAAGTCCGACGTGCAGCTTCGCCAGGTTGGTACGGATGGGGCTGTTCCTGTTTTTGAGGCTGATGTTTCCAAGATCAAGGAGGCCGGTTCCATTGAGTTCCAGAAGTCTCGTGCTTATGTCGATGCCGTGAATGTCCGTGTGAAGGAGTGTCTTGCCCAGAGCTTCGCGGAGTTCCTGGCTAAGAGCTCTGACGTGCTGAAGGATGGCATTGAGCTGGTATCGGGGACCTTCGCTGGCCAGGAATTCCTTGCAGAGCTTGACGATGATGCCTTTGCTAAAGGGATGATCGGCCTTTTGGCCGGAAACCTCCCGACTCTCCAGCGTTATCTCCCCGCCCCGTTTGATCCTGAGGCCGCTGGTTTCAATGCTCCGTTTGTTGAGGCTTATGGGGAGGCTTTGAAGGGCAAGTGCCAGGCGAAGGACGGTCCCCCCTGGCTGAGTGAGTTTGTCAAATTCTGCTTGCCAGTCGCAGCTCCTGGCTAGCAGGCCGTTCTTCCCGAAGCGGCTAATGTTTTTAAGATGGCTTACTTCACCCCTCACGCCTCTGGGTTCATAGAAAGCTCTTACAGGTACATCTATATTCAAGGATAGCTCCCCGAGGAGTGACGGTTTCGGTTATTTTGTACTCTTGATTTCACTCCGAACTCGTGTATGTTGTACCTTCCGGCCGCTAGAGCCGATGAATAAAGTGTATTACTTGCTTGCCGCGATCGTCTTTAAACTTGTCATCCGTTTGTCTTTCAGCTTCTTCTTTCCCTTTGGGGATTCCTCGGTGCCTCTCTCAATCAATTTTTTTGGAGAGGTCTTTGGCTTTGCTCCGTCGTCCGTTCGTCTTACCTGCCCATTTGGCCCGGTCCTTTGGATCCTGAGCTGGGCTCGGCCGCGATTGTGACGCGGAGCAGGTTTATCCCCTTTAGGGATTCCCCGGTCTTCGTCCCGTCATCCGTTCATCTTACCTGCCCATTTGGCCCGGTCCTTGGGATCCTGAGCTGGGCTCGACCGCGATTGTGATGCGGAACGGGTTTATCCCCTTTGGGGATTCCCCGACGCCTCTCTCTATTATTTTTTTTGGAGAGGTCTTTGGCTTTGCTCCGTCGTCCGTTCGTCTTGCCTGCCCATTTGGCCCGGTCCTGTGGATCCTGAGCTGGGCTCGACCGCGATTGTGACGCGGAGCGGGTTTATCCCCTTTGGGGATTCCCCGGTCTTCACCCGTCATCCG